TCCGGTTCTCCTCTCTCAACATCTCTTCAAGTAAAGAAAAAACTGGCTTTGTGGTTTTGCGGTAAATCGAGAGTTCGTTCGCTAAGATAACTGTTTTACGTATTTTAATGTCATGTGATCTTGTTGTGTACTTGATGAATTAGATTCAAGCCGGAGTGCAACAACCCAGGCAATTAGAGGAGAAGCAGTTTGAGTTACAAGGAGTAGAAGCCGCTTTGAATAAGGAAATGAGCATTCTGATGGAGAAGTTGGGAGAATCTAGGAGAACTTTCGAAACAGCGACCAAGGAGAAAAATACGGCAAGACTTAAAAATAAGGAGACGTTGTCAAAAGAACAATACCAGGTACAAAGTTTTAAAAATAGTTAACCCTGTTTATGTAATCAGGTTCATGCTCCAATTCAAACTGATTTGCTTGTCTGTGCGCATTTAATAACTCTAGAACATGTAAGACTTTCTCTCCCTCTCCCACTCTCGCCCACGTGCTACCATTGGTCCACTCCCATACCTGCTTCCATTGGCTCAGGGCAGGCTACACCTTTCACTTCCAGGCCTATAAATCCAGCTCCTGACACCCTATTGGCATATTCATCGCCCTGATGACAGAGGCAGTATGACCTCTGAAACGTTGGTTAACATCGACCAGACTACACAGCGCAATAACCCAGAAGACGGATATCTTCAACTCTAGAACAGCTCGGTGGCTTTCCGTGAAAACTGATATTTTGAGTTTTACTGACGACGCACTCCAGTTCTGGCAACAATAACCACTTTACATGTGTTTCTGTGTATGGGGAATCCCCCAGCACACAAGTAATTCTGATTTTAAGGGTACGATTCACGTACTTCAGATTCTGACGATGCGCCAGAATTGTTACGCCGTGCATTCATTTCTTAACTTGTTACTTGGCACTGAACTTATTTTTAATCAGCTTTCAGGATATCAGAAACAGGTTGACGAAATATACAGGTTCCAAAACAGCGTTAATGATTTCGTACAACGTGGAATAGACAGAAGACTGAGTGCGGTGGAGCAGTCTGTGCAAGACCTAGAAACAATTAAGGACACTACTTTAAAATCGATACAAGACGTGACAGCAGAGATCGCTGGTATCAACAATGAACTAGCAAAGCAGCAGGTATTGCCATACATATGTCTCGTCACTTTACGTGCTTTAAAAGTCATAAGATTCCTTTACGTCGCCCGATCTCTTTAATCCGTTAAAGTTGTATTTCTTGTGCGTCGGGTGGAGTGAGAGATGGGGTTTTGTTATCTGTTCAGAATTTCCGTTGTTTTTCATTTTGTTTAATATTTTTTATGTCTTTCCCATGTACTGTTTAAGGAATTATAAATATCAGTATTCAAGTATTTTATCCATGTGGAATTGTTTATCTAGATGAAGAAACGAGACTTGGATGACAACCTTAAGTTGCGCGAGAAGGAGGCAGAAGCTGAAGGTCTAAATGAGAAAATTGAAAAGCTTAAGAAAAATCTTGGAGATCTAAAGTACGAGACCATTCGTACAGAAAAGGGGAAACTTCAGAGGGAAGAAGAAACTCTTACTAGAGAGGTAATGTACAGCCTCGTTAATTTCAAGCGCTTTGGACTGAAAAATACAACCTTTCTGTTTAAATGGAATCGCATTATGAAATCTTCATGGTGGATGTACCAACTGAGCACGAGGGTTAATACTAGTGACATCAATATCATGCTGGATCGGTAACAAATGCTAAATACTCATTCTAAACTTCAGAGAAATTAAATTTCTGTAAATTAAAATCACAAATATTTCATCAGTGTTTTGGAATTTTCAATGTAGCACCAATAATTACCAAAATTCTTGAACAAGACTGTAATTTGTATCAACAGTGAGGCTCTTGAGTCCCTAAGTCAGAGGACGAGCAGTAGTAATCCGAAGAAAGAGGAGATAATGTTGGTAACACCATTTGAAGTTGTGTAGGTACCAACATTACGGAGGAACATTCTGCCTCTGTCTTTAGCCTTGAAGATGAAGGCGGCATGTTTGTCCAAAGTGTTAGTATCCATCTATAAGCCCCATACTAATTATAATCAAAAGTATTTAGACATTGATCGCAAGTCTGAAGTGTGAGGATGTGACTTACAGCTCGGCTTGGGAAAACGTAACTGAGATAAGAAATACACGGAACGTCCTGTATTTTGTAGTAAATTTGGAAATGGGAATGTCAGAAAAAGTTAAAATTGCACTTTGTAATGAGGCCTGATATTTTCAGTTCCTTTTTTTTAAAAAAAAATTTCAGAAGGCACAAGCTGAAGGTAGGCTCAAGGAACAAAAGAGCGCTATCGCATCGCTGCGCGAGGAGCTGAAGAAGCCCATGTACAAGGATGCTGAGAAGGACTATCTTAAGAAAGTTGTGGAGAAAAAGGTAAGTTACACCCTTCTGGGAGTGAAGATGTCGGTAACGCCAGCAGGGCAAGAAAAGTGACCTCTGGCGCGAAAGCCGTGCGTAATGGGATTCACTAGTTATTATGTTTAACTCGTACGAAACCAGCATGCGTAGTATTTATTGCAGTCAGGTAAGCAGCTGGAGAACTGGTTATCTCATTTCAAGCGAAAAAATTAAATAGCTCGATATTTACGGTGTCCATAATATAAATTTGTGAGAAGAGATTTTAACTTTTACAGGTTAAAGAAGCAAGTGAAAGCGACTTGAATTGCTATTATCACGCTACAGAATGGGCCATGCTGCACTTTCACAAGGACAAAATGAGGGAGATCAACACCATCATCCGCGAACTGTGGCGGCAGATTTATCGTGGCAGCGACATAGATTACATTGAGATAAAAACGGACGTGCCGGAGCAGTCCGGTAAGTCGCGTGAACAATATCTGCGCAGTTTCTTAGAATACTGTCGCCGTAATTTAACAGGCGGGTGGCTCGTATTCTCGTTATGTCGCGCGTACGCCCCCGCTTAATAAATTTTAAATTATTATTCAGTGTCCATGAAACTTGTTACGAATACATTCGGCAGACATCCCTGACATTAAATTTCGTAACAGCATGAAAACATAATTTTTGTTGGGATTTCAAGATTTAAATTTGGTAAAGATCACCAATGTAAAGTTTAATAAAAATCTACTTCAAGTATGAAGATTCTCTCGCATCTGTGACAGTTAACGTCCAAATTTAAACTGCGCGCTCATCCCTACTAAAGATCTGTTGAGGAGTGCACGCTGAACGGCATCTCATCCTTGACTGTAACGCTAATAAAACTGAGAGTGGCGATTGTGTCGCCATAGACGTGGGCAGACTTACTGCTTATTAGTTGCGCAGAGGTGAGGGAGACGCGCGACAGGTCAGAGTCTTCGTTTACCTCTGCATCTCAACTGTGTTAATTCTTGTCCAACTTCCCAGGTGCAGATAAGAGACGCAACTACAACTACAGGGTGGTACAGATGAAGAACGACATCGAAATTGACATGCGAGGACGCTGCAGTGCTGGACAAAAGGTGTGTACTTAAGCCTTATGCTTTTTTGGGTTTCTTTGTCGTTTGAGATGAAACATTGGCCTTGTTTGTTTGTAGCTGACCAAAATCTTGCAGTGGAACAAATCTTTAAGCTCTCTGTCGGTGTCAGGCAGGTCCTTTGTCACCACGGCGTAGCAAGTCTGCGTGTTAGCGATGGAGGAGACGGTCGTACGGTCCCCAGATATGAAAGGTAGCCGTAAATACAGGAAATAAGCAGTTGGCTGTCCTCCAACCTAGGGCTCGAGCAGAGGGCTAAGTGCCCTTCGTACAAAATGCAGGGAAGTGTTCATTTGCGAGTTCTGAAGATAGATGAAATGATAATATTAACAAAATAAGGAAGGCCCTGATCATGGAGGCAGTAAGTTCCTCTGAATTGTCAGTCAGTATTTACCAAACTACGGGGCATTACGTTTAAGAAGACGGCCGTCGTCGTACTTGTTGCCGTGACAACCTGAAATCTCACTTAAAGAAATGTTGTACGAGAGAGTGGACTGGATTCATCTCGCTGAAGACGGCGACCAGTGGTGGGCTGTTTTTTAAAGAAACCGCCCAATTCAAAAAGCCATGAGGAAATGATGGGGAATCCCCACAGAGTGTGCGTTGGGCTTATTATCGTTGCGCGGGGGCTGGTGTGCCGATTCAGTTGTAACCTAAAATTCTATTACATGTCGCGGTGGATGGTCGTACTCCGGCGCTTCAATCCTTGTATCCGTTGTTCCGCAGGTCCTGGCCGCTCTGATTATCCGCATGGCCCTAGCAGAGACTTTCAGCGCAAACTGCGGTATGCTGGCTCTCGATGAACCGACGACAAATCTGGACAGAGAAAATGTTGAAAGTCTGAGTACTGCGTTAGCAGAGTGAGTGTAATTTGAAGTTTAATGCGTGAGATGAACAAAATTATATATCCTAATTTTGTCTACCAAGATGCTCGCTCGTCTGTTAGTTGCCGAGACTTGAGATTTAGCTCAGATGCCGGTAGCAAGTTCGTTGTACGTCTTGCACTGTTACACTCACATTTTGACCCTGTCTTCGTCATAGGTCATGGATAAAAGAACTTTTTTTGCCAGAATTAAAATTCCCCTTGCCTCTGCAGTGCAAGACACATTTTGGTAAGAATCGCCTCCACGTCAAACTGCCGAACCACGATGTTGGATCTCGTGCTGAAATTAGTGTTTCGCAGTGTAACGCGCGAATCCACAAAGATTCGGGCGACCACGATGTGACGCCTCATGGAATGCGGAGTTTGTGCTGTGGCCGTAAAATTGCTAAAGTGAAAGAAATGCAAGTATTTGAGCTTCACTCGTAAACACTGCATTTTGTTATTTTCTTTTCAGCATTGTGAACACAAGAATGGCCCAGAAAAATTTCCAGTTGGTCATAATTACGCACGATGAAGAATTTTTGGATCGTTTGTCAAAAGTTGATAAACTGGAATTTTACTATAAAGTAACGAGAACTGAGAAGTAAGTATAGCGATTTTTCAGTTTCGTTTTCCTTTCTTATAAGATCGCCAATTTCTACAAAATTTGGCATTAGAGGTAATCAGACATGGATGGGGTCAGTGTCGCCAGCCCCACCAGGTTTACAGAAACATCTGGAGTTCTTCCGAGAACCTCTTGTTTCCGTAAAACGCGCGCTGTCTTCAGGCCTTGTTTTGGGGGTGTTTGCCCCGCGTATTTAAATGCGGACTGCTTACTGAAGTTTTGTTTTGTTTTCCAGTGGGAAATCTGTGATAAAGAGGCGCAGCGTTGAGCGATAGCTCGGGTACTGAATACGCGCTGTTCATTCCAAAAAGTTCCTGTGTCGTACGACGCGCGGGTCCTGCATCACATTGCATATTACTTTGCTGAGTACTACCCAATTCTCTCAGCTACTGATAACAATTGCTATTCCAAAAAATCTTTGCAGTCAAGTAATGAACGGTAAATATATCACCCGGAGGCTAGTAAGTCAATTTACGTACTTGTATTATGAGAATTTTCTGGTGTCAGTTTTCTTGTTTGGTCCCAATAAATTCACAAGCCACGCCTTCGTTTTGCCTGCGAGAAGCTGTCAGATTCATGGACTAACCACAGAATTTGCGAAGTAAATGCAGAAACAAACTTTTTAAAATGTGGTCAGTGCATTTAAAAATTAAATAAGACATTCAGAGTTCAAAGTATATCGGGCCTGAATGTGGTCAGTGTTTTGTTTTTATGGATAAAATAAAGTTTGGTTTTGGTTCTGCATTAATTTTGACCCCCAAAAAACATACCTTCAGTGTTCCCCCTCACCAAGTTTTCCGTAATGTCCATTCACCGAACGTCGCAGTGGCAAGCAGGAAGTGAGATTGTCAGAGGAACCCCAAAAACTTTGGGCCAAATAATGACGGGGCGTGAGATCCAAGAAACAAAAAGCCAGAATTCTCCCTGCCTCCTAGGAACGCACCGCTCTGGACAGCAGTGCCAGGCAAATGGCTTTTGTACGACAGATATTTCGCCAGAATTCACTTATCTTCGTGCCAAATGTAAATGTCATAAACCACGAAAACAGCAACAGCCAGTCTTGCCACAATCCAAATAAAAAAAGTCCCTCAACCTTAGCAGTTTAAATTCCCAAACTGCAAAGCTGCTGTCTGGGCAACGCTCGTCTTCGATCAGAATCGGACCTGGAGAGCGGATTGTCGATGCGCGTAGACAGGATCAAAACACGGGATTCCTGTCACAATCATTTTATGAAATAAATAACTTAAGAGGGAAACTTAATTTGTTGATTGGCTCCTGTGATCTGTCTCTATAACGACGTTTCTGTGCTGCTAAGAAAAGATTTTGCATGTCTTGAGTGCTGTTTCGTGTTGTACAAAAATTATCTTCAATGCATGAACAAGAGTCGAACTCAGGCCCGCTTCATCGCACGGACGAAAAAGGTAACAACAAAATTTATTAAGCGCGCTGTCACGTCAAGGCGAACGCCTTCACTACACGCCCTTAACTTGTTTTCGTTTGCCCAATTACAATTAATAGACCGGAGAGAATTACGTGTTGGTTTGACAAGCCCCTGGTCCTTCGTGCAGACCAAATGCCTCGCCATGTCACGTGGAGAATACAAAAGGCCGAGGAATCCCCCCCCCCCCCCCCCCCCCAACGAAACAAACAGCTGAAGATCAAGCACTGTTGGTTGATCTTGATAATGCGACAGCAATTTCAAGGTCGCGTTTTCAAAAATAAACACGCTGCCCTATTAATTTTGTAGCTAAATAACCTGACCTCCAACTTTAAAAAAAACTTGCAGACCTTCTCGGATGGAAATTCGTGTGGTGTACCAGGTGACCTTCTTGCAACAAGTTTCTTTTTATTATCATTTATGCAGTCTAAATCACAACTTGCAGGAGCCACAGAGATAATTGAACAAAATCTTAGGACGACATAATAAAATGTTTGCAGAATAACGTAGACACACACAGAAGGCAGCCATCTTCATACTCGTCACCGTGAGTACCTCAAATCCTACAAATCACGATCATCAGAATTTTTTTTTGAACAAATTAGGAATACAATTATTGTTCTGGGGGGTCATGTGACGTGGATCTACGCGCCAATCCAGAGGATGTCCTGGGCAGTATAAATGAGCTTGAAACTATTTCCTATCTTCGTAACACGGGCGCCAACAAATCGCGTTTGTGATGTGGTGACACGCGGCATTTCATCGCGTTAAACGAAGACAAGAGAACGGCATTGTTCGTACGTTCAGATCCAGTGGCACGTTTAGACATGCTCACTGTTGGGCAAAGCGTGGTTTGAGCAGCGACACAATAGCCTCACTGTCAGACAGACAGAAAGACCAAATTGTCTATTTAGATTCTGACGGCGGTCCACGCCATCTCCAGTCTCGTATACAATGGGTCACGTTCATCGTCCGGTGAAAATGACCAAGAAGAGGCGCGTGTCCTGTTTGAGTACTGAGGTGTTGCCTACAAACAGGGCCAGATCATCTGTCGAACTCCGCATACATCGCCTTCAGGCTTCGAAGTAACAGCCAGTTCAGACGAGATTGGCGGCGCATGTAGCTTGCACAGAGCTATGATTCTTTTGTGGAGAGGCTGAAGGAAAGAGACAGCTTGGGAGACCTAGTCGCAGATGGAAGGGCAGAGGTCCAAGGCTCTGGATTGGATTAATCTGGATCAGAACAGGGCCCATTGCGAACATCGCGATTTAACAGCCACTGAATAGACTCGGCTACCCGGACATTTCCGAATTCAGTCTGCATTTATTTCGTTAAACGTTTATAATCGACAGTATCATTCACCTCTCATTATGATTACAATATTAAAAAGGAGCTCAAGCACTGGGCACGTAGCATTTCCTCAGTTACCACGCGACAGAAGGTGGGTCAAAGCACCTTAAGAGGGGAGTCAACTGGATTGATTTCCCGTAGCACAAAAACCAGACTTTATCGTAATTATATTTTTTTGTAGTTGATGCAGCATCATTAAAATGCTCAGTGAGGATAATTAGAATTTCTTCTGTGCTCAATTAATTTCATCATGGAATTGCTACATAAAAAGCATCTGACATTACATCGCGATGGTCGCACTAAACGTAATGTTACATCCCGCATTCTGGTACCCGGCTTCTTAAAGAGGGCGGCGATACCGAAATACGCAACGGAGCGCAGGAAAGAACGTTCTTATGCGATGGTCGTTAAAGGATAACAGAAAAAGAACTCGGGTGACCCGAGCGAGTGGTCCAATTAACTGAGCAGAACGAAACGAACTGCCGTAAGAAAATAATGGCGCGAGAGATCGAGGGACCACTGAAAAGGGGCGAACATCTCAGGGATGGGGAACGGTACATTGACATCAGACGTCAACTCCGGGGGCAGACACCTAGGGGAGGAGATTACAGTTACTTAACGGGCCAAAAACTGTTATCGTTTTCTGAACCAGAAGGTTCATCACAGCGTCCACAAAATCCTACACCGGATCATATCGTCCGTCCATACAGGCCACTCCTGGGTTTTCCCAGGCACGTTTTATCTCAACGCTGTCCGACTAAAATTCTGTCTGCAATTTCTATCCTTCCCACGAGTGCTACATGCCCCGCCCATCAAAAAGTCCATAATTATGAAAATGTTTCCAGTTTCTTCCCCGCTTTTCTGTCTGAATACAGACGTCTCTAGTCGTGTGGGCTGCGGTCTGAGGAGACGAACTGATGTTTATGAATGATTATGTAAGGGATATGCTGTCGTGGCCAACTTGAAGAAGCCCCAGGAACTACAGATATAGGTCGAGATTCGAACCGCCGAGCCTCGAAGTGCGCTGACAGCTGAATGCGACTCTGCTCAGAGGTTTGCGGTTCCTCAGGTGTTTGAATGAGGACAGAGCAAGTGACAGCCTGTGGTTCTCCTTAGCACAGTTCGTAGCTTGGTAAGGAGGATTAGCATACTTTGTCCTTGCGACAAGACCTGAAGACAGGCTGACGTCTTGTACGGACTTCGTTTCAGACGCATTTGGAGTCTCGCTTAACGAGAACCCACCGGTACAAAAACTGCTCGCATTTCATACATACAAATAAAGTATTAAGTGTCTCCAAAGCCGTATCAGGCACTGGTTGAGTCCTGGTACACAACAGCGCAGGGCTGTGACGTCTCTTACGCACCTGCAGGACCGCACACTGAGAACCTCGCATCTCACAGAGCAACGCAAGACGAAACAAAATCCCCTCTCCCGTTCCAAGAAAAAGTGGACAGAAATTTATGTGCGTGAAGACTCTGGGGCCAAAGGAAGTTAATTAAGGGTACGAGTAATGGCGTAGAACAGCGCACAAAACCAGTTCGGCTCAATGAAACACAGTAATTATCCACTGAAATATGTAGGGCAAACGGGCCGTATGTGTAACGCACCGGAGTCATTTGGCCCAGGACAAACCGGAGTTTACGAACACCTCGCGGAAATATTACTCAGTACAGGAAAGCACTCAAAAGTGGCTTAAGACATTGAACGAATCTCACGAACATCCCACTTTTTCGGCGCCCAAGTGATTACTATGACAGACAGAAGACGGCACTTCTCGACTTGGTAATAGAAATGACATGTTAATAGATCAGTGGTAAGTAAAGTAAAGTTTGTCCCACTATACGCCATGTAGGCGTTTGGGGTGAGTGGAGGTATAGCTCCTCTCTTCCTCGACCTCGGCACTAGATGGGGGTGAGTGGTCAGCATCACGCCCCGGCCGGCTTTACCCCCGGGAAAGGACCCCCCCCGGTACCCATTGTGGAGGAGGCTGGGTGGGCCCCAGAGCCGGTCTGGACGCAGAGGCTAGAGGAAAAATCCTCTGCCCCCGTCGGGGATCGAACCCCGGTCGTCCAGCCCGTAGCTAGTCACTATACTATCCCGGCTCAGATCAGTGGTAAGTATGTATACCAATTAATTTTATGTTTGTAAGTCTGTACCTCGTTCATAATCTGATCACAGATTTAAATTTGGATCTCGGAATAAACAGCAATTTTTTTTTAAAAAAAAAATCAGTAACATATTCGCGTTTGTAACGGTGATGTGGTGTGTTTTCTAGGAGGTGCGAGCCGCTTTCTTAATTATTTAAAAAGAATTACACGTTTTAGTTCCGCGGTGCAGCGCGCTCATTAGCATGCGAAATCGAATGCGCGCAATTTTTTAATTGTGCCCCCAAGGTCAGAGGTCTGACTCTGCCGATGTGACGGGCATGAAGAATCTCTGCGGCTCGCGACAAACAATGGAAGTTAAACGAAGCGAAACACGCTCCCCACGGCGCGGCCTGTCTTAGGTGAGTGCGCGGTGCCAGCTAAAAATGTACGGGGAACACGAATCGCTCCTTCCCTTCACGACTAGAATTATCATCGCCGAGGCGCGAGACGGCCTCAAATTATTTCTCACACACACGGACCTAGACCGAGAGTTACGCGGATCAACTGCGGTTGTCAGCGCAGTTTTGCTCACTGCTCACTGCCTCCTGTCGTCAGAGAGAAGAGTAGTGGCCTAATGACTGCGGCACTAGGAACTTCCGAAACGTCGGTCGACTTCTACAAGGCTACATCTTTGCAATTTAGGTTTTGCTGATGAATAACAACGCCGCCAAGTCATTTTACGGATTTTATTTGGCAAATCGAAGAATTTGCTATGAAATAAGCGTCTGCAACTCAGTTCACAGCTTTGTACTGAACGCCGACAGCGCTGCTGACATATTTTATGAAATAAATAAAAAATAAAAATATCCGAA